CAACGAAGTGAGAGATTCCTCTTATAAGTCGAGGTGATCGACTGATGTAAATTCCTCAAGTAGTAAAATCCTCGGCAACTTCATGGACATAGACAATTTGCCGAAACATGTAAATCTGTGTGTTCCGCTATGTTACTCTTTTTCTGGTGTAAATTTTCTCGTTCTATTTTTCTCTTCGTTGATCGTTTTTCTGTTTGATTTATATATATATCACATCAACTGGTGTATATATAGTTCACAACATCAACTAGAGACGATCCGATCCTAGAATGACAACCGACTACAGGACTATCCAATAAAGATCAGACAATAAGACAATCTGTTAGAGAACCATCAATCAAATGTCACCAAGTCGGTTCGTTGGTTGGTGGTCTAGTGGTTAAAGAGGGTCAATGGTGTATTTATTTCATAATATTTATAGTATTTTGTACATAGAGGAACATTAAATGTATTTGGGGTTACTGAAACCTGTTGAAAGAGAAAAAGAAAGAGAGATGGAAGTAAAATAAATAAAATAACACACATAAATTTGCACCGTGGGAGCAAACTGAGATATCCTTAGGCTCTTTGACCTATTATATATATAGGGACTACAAGAGAATGAAAGAGAGATTTCCTTACAAAAGATGAGTCTAGAGAAAAGAGTCAAAACCCCCCTTTTTTTTTCTTATATGGCATCATTCCCCTACTTATAGAAAATAGAGAGACCAAGTCTAAACTTACATGTTTTCCCGTTCTTTAATGATGGAGTTACATGTCATTATTATCTTTTTATGATTCCTGCTTTAATAGGAGGGTTACAAGTTCATACGATTCCTTTTATGGTCCCCGTTTTAATAGAGGAGTTATTGGTCTTTATAGTATCTTTTTATAATCATTACCCAATTTTCGTACCTTTTTTTCATCTATCTTTTTATCAAGACCGTTAAATTGTCTCGAGATTTGAGCATACTGTCTTTGGGAGTACAAAACCATATAAAAAAAAATACATGATTTCGTATATCTCTCTTTCTCATTCTTTACTACTTAGGTGTGATTCACGAATAAATTTGATTTCCAAAAAAGATTAAATAAGAAGAGCACACGCACATAAACACACACACACACACACACACATATGCCTCTGCTAATTCCCATGAAAATAAAATAAATTATTGCAACTCATAAATATTAAAAAAAATCATTATTTCATATATCTCTCTATAAGTATCTCTCTTTCTCATTCTTTACTACTTAGGTGTGATTCACGAATAAATTTGATTTCCAAAAAAGATTAAATAAGAAGAGCGCACACACACACACATATGCCTGCTAATTCGCATGAAAAATAAAATAAATTATTGCAACTCATAACTATTAAAAAAAAGATACAAAGGGTAAGTTAAACATAAAATAATTGCATTTAAAAAAAAATATTTGGATCAATTACAAATATAGCACCACATATTGCTATTCACCAGTCTAGCACCCTGTTTCGTCTATTTTTCAAACTCTCACTCAAATATCAAAATTCATGATAAAACTCCAACCAATATTGTTCAATTTTTATCAAATTCTCAATAGTTTGACCGTGACATTTTATCAGTTCAAAAATATGACTTAGATTCTAGACTTTATAAATAGTAATATTTTAGATGCAATGTATGTAATCTCTAGCACCCTGTTTCGTCTATTTTTTAAATTCTCACTCAAATATCAAAATTCATGATAAAACTCCAACCAATATTGTTCAATTTTTATCAAATTCTCAATAGTTTGATCACGACATTTTGTCAGTTCAAAAATATCACTTGGATTCTAGATGTTATAAATAATAATATTTTAGATGCTATGTACGTGATTATCACAAAATTTTTATATAAAATGTATTGATAATTACCATACTCGTGATGGTTCATTTTCTAAACATCCTCTAGATGACGTGTTCCATGGACCAGCCCGTCTTAATTGTACGTGTTCGGCGCCCAACCATAATTCTATTTTACTTCTTTCAGTCTAACATTATAAACTGACAATAAAAACACCTTTGAACAGATCTTCTGTGGATCTAAAGATTTAGAGCGGAACACTCGTTGTCGGATGAGCCACTACGAGAATGGTTGAAGGTACTTGAATGACGACCAAATGATAATAGTTCGCTAGTCAGAGATTGGATGAGCAGTTAACTGTTAGCGCTGGAGCCCGATTTTGATTTCCCGCTCCCGCCTTCCTCTGCCGCGAACCATTCCGTTGTTTCGCTAAGAGTCGCAACCCCCGCCTCCTCTTAATTCATGAAATCAATAGGTCTTTTTGCTCTCGGACATTTTTCTACCTTTTGCTTGAGCAACAGGGTTAACGAAGGAAGAAGAAGAAATCTCTCCTTCAGTTTTGAAGTCACATTTTCTATGTTATTCTTCGGGCTTCCTCGAGATAAAGGAAGAGTAGTGCAAGTGTAGTTCCTTGAGATAAAGGAAGAAGAAAGAAGAAGAAGATGATTGTTCTCCCTTGGCTTCTTCTTAGTGGCTTGTGGCAGAAGAGAATTTGAGTTTATTTATGTTGTAAGTTCATCTTCTTCGCTGTATCTCGGTGTAGAGTTTCTTCGGTGTATCTCGGTGTAGAGAGAAGAACAAAGAGAGAAGAAGAGAGAGCAACGAAGTGAGAGATTCCTCTTATAAATCGAGGCGATCGACCGGTCCTATAGACAATTTGCAAATCGGTGTATTGAAGTGAGAGATTCCTCAAGTAGTAAAATCCTCTGCAACTCCATGGATATAGACAATTTGCCGAAACATGTAAATCTGTGTGTTCCGCTATGTTACTCTTTTTCTGGTGTAAATTTTCTCGTTCTATTTTTCTCTTCGTTGATCGTTTTTCTGTTTGATTTATATATATATCACATCAACTGGTGTATATATAGTTCACAACATCAACTAGAGACGATCCGATCCTAGAATGACAACCGACTACAGGACTATCCAATAAAGATCAGACAATAAGACAATCTGTTAGAGAACCATCAATCAAATGTCACCAAGTCGGTTCGTTGGTTGGTGGTCTAGTGGTTAAAGAGGGTCAATGGTGTATTTATTTCATAATATTTATAGTATTTTGTACATAGAGGAACATTAAATGTATTTGGGGTTACTGAAACCTGTTGAATCTAATTTTGCCTTGTGAGAAATGCCCAAAAATCAGAGAAGTCGGGACATTGAAAGAGAAAAAGAAAGAGAGATGGAAGTAAAATAAATAAAATAACACACATAAATTTGCACCGTGGGAGCAAACTGAGATATCCTTAGGCTCTTTGACCTATTATATATATAGGGACTACAAGAGAATGAAAGAGATATCTTCTTATAGAAGATGAGTCTAGAGAAAAGAGTCAAAAACCCTTTTTTTTTTCTTATATGGCATCATTCCCCTACTTATAGAAAATAGAGAGACCAAGTCTAAACTTACATGTT